TGATATAATATGTTTTATTACTCTTTTCTTCAGTCCCACCTAAGTCCTTAGCATCCCAGCCTCTTTACATCTCATGGAATTGCATCAAATAGTGGAGGCACTCAAAATCTTTTTAACAGTCAGTGAAAAATCGTTGCCAAAGTGTGAATTCTACCTTTCAGTTTTGTTCTATTTTCATCTGGCTTGCATAATAAAATCACAAGATTTTGCCTACCTTTATTTCAAGGAGGAGAAAAGAGACATTTTTGTTTGTACAGTTATATAGATCTTTTTTTTTCCAGAGAGAAAAATTTTGGGTAATGGATTTATGTCTGACAGCACATCAATGTTCTGAGGATTTTGCCAGCCAGTTCTCCAGATGCAGAAATCTGCCTTTGCTTTACCTAACCCTGCTTCTGAGACAGCAGGTACCCTTTTCTCAGTCAGCATCTTACCTGTATGACCCAGTGGATGTTCATCAGATTCAGGCCGCAGTCACCTTATTGTCTGTTGCACTGGGTATTTTTTTTTCCTATTATAATCCACTCTCTTGCTGCTGCTTTGCTATATAATCAACACTTCCCTTACACTAACCATAATGCTTGACTAAAAAATATGACCAATTTTTGTATTGTATTGATCTTTCTTTTTAAGCATGATTGGGTACGGGAGAAATATGCAATTCAAACCCCAAAGTGCCCACAGCTCCGAAACACATGTACGCAGAGACACATGCAGAGCAGGTTTCAGCTGTGGTTCCTGATGCACTAATGGAAGCTGCTTGGCAGGTCCTCTGGAGGTCACCTACGCCAGCCTCCTTCTCAAAGCATCCACAGTTGGATCAGGTTGCTCATCTGGGTCCACATAAGTTTCCCCAAGGGTGGATATTGCAAAAACCTTCCTGGGCAACCTGCTTCAGGGGCTTACCCACTTTTACAGTGAAACCTTTTTTTTCCTTATAGGAGCCAGAATGTTCTTTCCTGCAGCTCCTGGCTGTCTCCTCTCATCCTCTCATGGAGCTTCACTGAGAGACATCCATCTCTTTTCTCTGTGACCACAGGTCAGACAGTTGAGGACAGTGGCCACAACCACCACATCTTTCTCCAAGCTCAACCAACCCACCTCACTTTCCTGAATGCAACGTGCTTGTTCCCTAACCACCTTTATGGCCTTCTTCCAGACTTGCTCCAGTTTGACAAAATCTCTCTTGCATTGGAGGCCCCAGAGAGGACACATTATTCTGGGTGCAGCTTCAAAGTGCTAAACAGAGGTGTTATGCTATGTCCCCTTACCTTGCTGGCCATGGTTGTGCTAACACAGCGCAGTATTCAGTTAAGTTCTGCTGCCACAAGGGCGCACTGCAGACTTGTGCTCAATGTGTCCACCACAAAATTCGTGTTCCCAGCCCCACCAGAGTTCTTTCCAGTAAAGCTACCTTCTGGTGAGGGGCCTGGTTTGCAAGATTGCACAAGGCAGCTTCCTACACGCAGAACTTGGCCTTTGTCTGAACCCCATGAGGATCCTGTCAAACCACATCCCAGGCTTGCTGCGCTCCCCCTGGATGATAGCTTTACCCTCCAGCACACCACCTGGAATAGCAGCACCCCTGGTTTCGTATTGAAACCTGCACACTTGCCAAGTGCTCTCCTTCCCACTGTACAGGTTGGTCAGTATGTTACATGTTGCTGACCCAAGGAACAGCACTCAGCTGGCTGTCACAGACTGCAAACAGTTGCCCAACACTTGCAGCTTGGTGGCCCAGCCACTCCTACAACCACACTGTAGCCACCCGCTCTGTCCATGCTACCCCCATTTGCCTGCAGGGATTCTTCACGGGATGTTATCAAAAGCCTTACTGAAGTCAACATAAAGGCATTCACTGCTCCCCCCCTTCTGCACAGACCAGAAAGCATACAGTCTGCTTAGGCATCATTTTGCCTTCTGTAAACTCATGTTGGCCAATCCCAATCACTTACTTGTTTTCACGTGCCTGGCTCCCCTTTCATGACATTCCTGGAGACAGGCATAAAATTGTCCTTTTTGCAGTCACTCAGGACCTCCCACAGCTGCAGCCTTTCAAAGGCAACAGGCTCCATTTGGCCTCCTCCAATTCTGGGGCTTGGCAGGGCTTGGCTCTTGGCATTTAGCATCTAGCACACTACTCTATCAATGCAAATAAATATGAATAGGAAAACCAAATAGAAACATTTCTAAATCAGTTTCTTTAATCCAAACCCACTATAAGAATTCTGGATGCTCAAAACCACATAGTTTTACTTGAAGTGCTGGTCATTCCAATAAATACTGGGGGATGCTTAGGTTGTCACTTGAAACAAGAATGTTAAGAATAAAAAGGCTAAATAAAATATACTAGTCATAGTAGGAAAATCATCATGACCACTGAGACCAGAAGGTGACAGCTGTGGAGATTTACTGTCCAAGCAAGCATGAATAAATAGTACAGTACCTCACTTATTCAAGGTGACACATTCAAAAGATATACAGTGAGGTTCACTGGGTTATTGCCAGATGCATAAAGACAGTGAAATACTTCCTGCAGAGTTTAAAACAACCATGCTCCTTGTTTTTTAATTTTTTTTTTGTTTGTTTTGTTTTGAGACAAACGTGACAAATTCTTTTGCAAAATTTTTCTGAGCATAAAGTTCTTAGTCCAAGATTACATGGTAAGCTAGTAAAATAAGGTCATTGATTTTTAATGAAATCATCTCTTCCTTACAGGAAATGTTTGTTAGTTTATCAGCAGAGGGACCCAGTGTAACACTATCATAGGAATTCAGGTGCTGATAGGGACAGGGCAATGTGCATGCTAGCTTGTGTCTTCTTCCTTATGCTATCTGACCAAAATCAGAGGGAAAGATTTATTATTGTTTTGACCTGCAGAAATGAGAAGCACAAACACCAGTATCTGGCAGTGGTCACAAAAGATCTTATTTCTACTAGTTTCCTTAAAAGTATGTATCTGTGCAGACTACAGGACCACATCTTCTGTTTGATATCCTTTCTGAAAGGCTTCTGCAGCACAGGGACCATGATCTAGCCACAAGCACCTGTGGAAAGTTCCTGCTGATACATCTGTGTCCAGTCTGGATCCTTTTAATTCTGCTACAGAAAGATGACAGTGTCAAATGATAATCCCTGACCAACACAAGTACCCCTTATGACTTTTGACTTCTTGCATAGGAGCAACTTGCAGCTCAGAGTGCAGCAAACAGACCTAGAATAACAGACATACAGGAGGATGTGATCCTGTTACTTTAACCTTATTACCTTAATGGTTTGCACATTCAATACATTTATTCAAAGTGGTAACTGCACTGCAAATATTGTATTTCGGTACTTGTTCTTTGCTATAACAAATTCATGAATTTCATAGCCAGCTGTCTGTAATGCTATTACACCTCAGGAGAAAACATCCTAATGTATCAAAAAGTAGCAGATAGCCTTTGTGCAGGTATGATACAAATTTTCTGCCTTATATAGAGCTTGTTTCAAAAATGCAAGGTCCCAGCAGGCACGATGAAAGGGTTTGCCATTTATAATGTAATTGTCACTCCCGATGTTCAGTCATGCATGTCATGGACCTAAGTTTGGTGGCAAGCAGAGTTACAGTACACAAAATCTGAAATAACACAGTAAAGAGTACAAAAGGTGTTGAATATGAAACTGAACACGAGTCTTCCCTGGCTTGCAATCATAGCCCTTTAGCTCCTTGTGCTTCACAGTTCCTCTCATTGCTGAATGACATGACACATTCTTTCACTCTTAGTGACCTACATACTTCTCCAGTGTAAGATGCTCTTTAAAATAATCAGGTGTCTGAGAAATCCACACACCCCTCGCTGGTCCCCTCCTTAGTACAGGTTTTCTGTATTCTTATATAGGAAAATTTTCTATTGCAGAAACTTGTAATTGCTTTCAATTTCTCATCACCGACAGTAAGCTATAAAAGCAGGTAAAATAGTGTTTTACAACACAGACAACTCTCATTTCCTGAAGAACCAATTAAAAGACACAGTTCTGTAAACCCATCTCATTTTGGATGAAAAACATGACTTACAAAATCAGACACAAATAGATGCACATTGAATAGTGTCTATTCATACCACCTTGTACTCTTCACAGTCTGCAGAATTAATACAACTGTACCTACTTCCCCAGAGAATGCTAAAAGGCTGGACTCCATTACCTCCCCCTTGGCAGGTGACTTTCCAGAGAATTACCCTCTCACAGCACACTTGACTGCTCCACTGAATAGTGGGACTTGGGCAGAATTGCACTTGCATAAAATGGGCTCTAATATGTTGCAACTAGGAGGTATATGTTGGTCTGTAAATTCTCTATTATAAAATTCCTGGGATTTTTATTCCTCAGTCTTTGTGGATATGTAATGGCCCTGTTGGCTTTGTGTTAACCCTAACAGCCTTACAGATGTCTTTTTACTCTTGTACTCTTCACTTCTCACTTTGCATTAATGAAAAAAAAGAATTTTACAGAACAGATTAAACTTTTCAGCAGCAAGAACAGACAATTTCAAAGCTTCCCTGAACACCTGCCTTCATAGCCCGTTACATCAAGCAGCTGCCTATTTTGCCCACACTTCAGAGCAAGTCTTGGTACCAAAGTGACCCGTTTTCAGTCTCAGGTATGCCCAGGCTGGTTTTAAAGTTAATCCTCAATCTCCATCAGAGATGGCATAACTATGTTGTAGCATTTGGGTGGTGCAAAAATAAAACCATAATCACCCACCTGGCTCTACTGCTCCTTCTTCTGAATCTCCAACGTAGTGAATGTTCACAGTCTTACTGCAAAAAGCACCAATAAAGGCTGTAACAGGATGTAGCAAGAAAAAGATGTTAAAACACAAGGGAAGTAAACACAAGTTCTGTAATTATGCTTTATTGCAACTCTAATGCTTTGTCTGCTGCTGAAGACTCCTGTAGCTAAATTTGTTTGTTCCAGCCTTCTCTTTTTTGTACTGGTTAATAAACACAAGAAACATATATTTTTCTTATCATTTTATTGAAAAGGTACATTTAAAAAAATACACAGACATTTTACTATTATGGATTGCAGATAAAGATGCTGTAAAAGTTAATTCTATTTTTTTTTTTCCTTTCTTCCACCTGTTGTCCCCAATATCACATAATGACTTCAGTATGAGTACTGCATATTGATATCACCTTTATAAAAGGGTTGGGAAAGTAAGAAGATAGGTGGGACATTACTGCAATATATTCAGTAAACAGAGAATACAGTCAATTATAAATATTTTATGTTCTGTACATTATTGCATTAGGGAGCCACAACATTATGCAGCATCGTTACAAAGAAAACTAGTTATAAATGAAGAAAAAGATATTTACGTAGAAATACATGGATCCATTCTCTTCTTGAACAATGCATGTGAGCTGTGGTAATGTGCAATTGAAAAGCTTTTTTTATCTTTAAACATTGCTTAGCAACACCAGTGAGGCAACAACAAAAATAAGTTAAATCAAAGTAGCAAACAAGTAGTAACCTTAACTATATGGTATATGGCTTTCTATTTTAATTTCTCTAAATAAAGTGTGACACAAAAGAAATAATCAAAAGCTTCAGCACTGCATTGCTTTCAAACATTTGCACAGAAACTAAAAATATTAAAATCAGACATGTGATACATCTTTAGTACTACACAAGATACACCAGTACTGGGACCTAGGACAGTACACAATCCCTGTCAACAAGAGCACACTGGGGAAAACAAAAACCCGAAACAAACAAAGGATGCAATGCATTTTTGAGATGTTATCCACAATCAGGCATTTGGTTCATCTACCTTTCTTTCCACATTAGGTTATACTCCATTGGTTTTCAGAGAAGTATTTACATAAGTGGGAGTTAGGAAGACCCTAGTTTTCAAGTCTGTCAGGAAAATATTTTATGTTCCTTGATTCCAAGGTGCATCATACACATTGAAAAAAATATTAATAAATGCATGAAACTTTAATGGTATAAATGTTATGAGCAATGAAGCTTTTAGCAAATCACTCTATCATGATTAAAACAAGAGAGAGAGAGAGACTGAGAGAGTTGTCAAGACTCCAAAACGCAGTACCGCCAGTGATGAGTTTTATGGTGTGGTTGGTTGAGGTGTCACGCAGGATGGCATTTCAAAAGAGAAAGACATTTTAAAATCTCAACCCCTTTCCTGTCTGTCTTTTACTCTTCCTACTGGCCATGTTATCTCTTCTTCACATCAATAAATTAGTATGGTGCAAAAAGTATGGAGGCAGGTGTTGCCCGGATGGGACCATGGCCTGGCCTGAGAAGAGCTGGTGGTATTGCAGGTGCCTGGAACAAGGAGGCAGAGGGACGCGGAGGAAGGGACAGAGCTGATGATACAGCTGCAGCCGCAGCAAGAGGAGATGAAAGGAAAGCGGGAGCCAGCGGCTTAATCATGTCCTTCTGGAATGCAAGTTTTGCCTGCAATAAAACACACAAAAACCCCAATGTAAATACAGCTCTCCTGCGCTGATTTTTACATGAGGGAAAAAATAAACACTGACAAAAGGCACACTGTGGTTTCTCACAGAAGCCTCATCTCAGCTGTTTAGAAATTTTACCCACTTTGTCTTCTTACTCTCAGGGCAATTAAAGCAACTAAATCATGTATTTAAAGAAACACAAGTGTAGGGGCAGTCACACTGACATTTAGAAGGAAGCATCATTTGCAAGTGAACAATATTAAATTATGCAAATCATAACTGTGCAAGAAATTGAAAAAAAACATGATTAAAACTTCAGTGTCAAAAGTCAAAATTTCCACTTGCAAAAATGAACTGTAGTAAAGGAGGGTGGTTAAGATGGGAAACTAGTACCGGTCCAGTGAGCTTTTTACCTGCCAATGAAGAGCTGCACTTTGCAAAATAGAAGTATTTTTTAAGATGAATTCCATAAAGAATTCTTTCTGAAAGAATTATTGCTGTTTATGATCTTGCTGGTGCTTGTGGTGAAAAAAAGCTAACCAGAAATATATATACTACAGTCTCACTGAAGATGATTTGCACCACAATCCCACATTTATGGGGGCAAAGATACTCGTGCCTTTCTTTTATTAATGGAGGTCTCTCCTTATGCAATACATTATAAAATAATGTACTACACAGGTGAAGAAGATTAGTGTGTGCAGAACCTATCAAATGGGGAGACTCAGAGAAAGCCTGCAGCATTTTCATTTGCCTCTACACAATTACAAAGACATATTAATATTTCAGTGTTTAAAGGCTTTTCACATGCTTCCTCTTGCGCATACACATTTGCATCTTTCTCTTCCCAACCTGTAAATTGTTTTTGTGCCATACGTGGCATGCACTTTTCCCTAATGAATAAAATACAGGCTGAGTCATGAGCAAATAAACGTACAATCTGTGCTGTGCTAGAGCCAGCCTGAACTCCGGCTATAGCTGACTGGCAGAACCAGCTTGGGGAATTCCTGGAAATGTAGGTGGGTGCAAAAGGGGAAGGTCTAGGGGTACAAAGGCAGAAGAGGTGTTTTGATAGACAGTGACAGACACAGCTTGGGCATGCAGATAGGCAATCAATTCCCCTAAACACTTGATAAGTCTTTTGCAGCAATGTAATACATCTATACAGCACTGTTTTGCTGTATGCAAAGAATGAGAATTAGTATTTGTGTATCTTAACATCTTATGTCCTTTTTCTTGACTGCATCCATCATAACTGAGAGTTATCTCAGGTGCCCAGAAAGACAGAATATATACATTGCAGCCTTCAAGAAGCAGTGCAGTAGCCCAGCAGAGCCAGTACATTTCCACAGGGCCACAATGGTTCATTCCCCGTCCCACTGATTATTCTCTTCTTCCTAGCAGTAAATAACACTTGCAGTGCTGTCTGTGTGCCTTTGACTGGGCAGACAGAATGCACAACTATCTTCAAATCTGACCCCTGAGCAGACTCAGCCTGCAGGGGGAGAAATGCTGTGGAAGCGTCAGGTCAGTCACGTTCCTTTCTCTGTGTGGTGGGAGTCCCCAGGGTCACAAATTCACATAGACAGTGATAAGAAATAGAAATACTTACTGCTAAAATACTTGGGCTGCGCTGCAGTTTGTTGTAGGGACTATATTTAGGTTTCATGGGCTTTCCTGCAACTCTGTCCTTATGCCTTCGGCTGGAAATATGCTGAAATAAATATCCTCACATTTAATTACCTGTTTAAACATATCTCAGTTTTGAGTTTGAAATTGATTTATCAGCAGGATATGCCTAAGCAGCCTGTTTGTAAGACTAAGTAGGTTCTTTAGAGAGAGCAATGATGAGTTTTGCTAAATTAAACATAACAATTTGGAGCACATCAAATAGAGAATCAGAAGCTAATCAAATACAGTGAGTTCTGTGATACGAGACAGTCTCTGCAAATTATTGATATTTTGGTTGGTATTTCATTTTTCCACATGAGGAGCTTTGAACCAGGCAGAGCTGCAATCACTAGGTCATAGGAATATTTGGAAGTAGGAGTTACATTTCAGTCTCACTGATGAAGTTCAGTTGTATAAATAATTCAGTATTAGCTGAAGGAAGAACCAGAATCCAGGGATATGTCTACACCATGCAATTTAATACTGTCTTAGAGATAACTGAAATAAAAGGGAATGAGAGAATACATCCACAGAGCACAGTACCATCCTGTTAAGAGCTTCCTGTTTAGGTATCTGTATTGGCACAGCTCTAAAACCAGGACTAATTGGCTTGGACAAAGCAGAGCTGCATGTTCATACAGCTACACTGTTAATGATTAACATTGCTCTACACAGTTCAAACGCATCTGTAGCATTACCCTCCTGCTGATTGTCCTAAACCAATAGATTCAAGTCACATTCTCCTTCTCACATAGTATTAAAAAGTATTCCAGCAGATGGAAATAGCACCAAAATGGAATTCAGGGAACCTCAAACTAGAATTTCTTCCATTTAGGAGACCAGAGTTCAAATCTCTCTCTTGAGGAAGCTTTTAAAACTAGATTTGCTATGTTATTCATTGATACTGACACTTTGTCCACCTCTGCTTTTTGACTATCGAGACCACATTTTACCAGCTGAAACAATTAGCTGAAGTAGACCTATAGTGAGCTACTCAGAAATAGTTGTGGGGTGACAGAAAAGAAATACTAAGTTCACTTTTCGCCAAAATATCTTCACACAGACCTACACCACAGCTACAATACTGCAATGCAACTAAAACCAGCAAAGGATCCCCAGATACATGCAAGCTACCTGTTTAAGCTGAATTTCTGAATTGACATGGACATCACAGATTTCACAATGAAATGTCTTGTTCTGCAGTCCTGAGCCTTTACTGCCATTCTGCACCTTCAGACGGGATCCAGGTCGAGGGTAAGACTTGATGGGACCAGCACCATTCCGAGCCTCAACCATAGTCTTGTGCTTGGACCCTAATGGGCAAGGAGGTGCTCGTGAGTTAATGATCAGCAAGATACGGTTATGTCCATTAGCCTTGGGACTGTATGCAACACATTTATCTTCAAGACAGAATAATTCAAATCACCACAGAATGGGGCTAATGATGAATCTGGTTTAGGTCAGTGTAGTTTTCACTTCCTTGATCTAAAGGTAAGCCAGACAATAAAAGAAGGGTTAGTACAAAAAGGGAACAAGAGGATGCTGGGCCACCACTGCCTTTTTGTTTGGGGGCAGTGTGTGCCTCTATGGGCAAGATGTTTGTTCTTCTGTCAAAATCCATATAGCTGGTGAATCACAAAAAAAAGGCATAAGCCAAGAGTGAGAGAGGAACCACAGCAATCAGTCAAAACCTGCCTAGGAACACTAATATTTCAGTAAGTATCCTCTGATTTGGAAAAAATGGCTGCTTTGGCTATTTCAATGGCTCACAGCTGTAAAACCAGTTTCACTGATTTGATAACAAGCTTTACACCTGCAGCACACCACAGAACAGCCACAGCACACTGGGAATGCTGCTTGCGGCCTTTTAAAGGGAGCATATCTAATCTCCAATATTCAAAAGCTTCTAGGATACCTAGTAAATCTAAAGAGCCCACCCTAAAATCATAACCAAAATGTCTATAAATTGTGCCAGAAAAAAATCCAGAGATAGGTGAAATATGAGAGAGAACTCATATTAGAAACCTTAGCGTTATGGAAACCTCAAGGATCATACCATGATCTTCACTATGGAGGCATGAAGATAGGCTGAGAAAGTGGGGCTGTTCAGCCTGGAGAAGAGAAAGCTGTGTGGAGACTTCATAGCAGCCTTCCAGTATCTGAAGGGGGCCTTTAAGGATGCTGGGGAGGGACTGTTCATTAGGGACTGTAGTGATAGGACAAGGGGTAATGGGTTAAAACTTAAACAGGGGAAGTTTAGATTGGATATAAGGAAGAAGTTCTTTCCTGTAAGGGTGGTGAGGCACTGGAATGGCTTGCCCAGGGAAGTTGTGAATGCTCCATCCCTGGTGCTGTTCAAGGCCAGGTTGGACAGAGCCTTGGGTGAGATGGTTTAGTGTGAGGTGTCCCTGCCCATGGCAGGGGGTTGGAACTAGATGATCTTAAGGTCCTTTCCAACCCTAACTATTCTATGATTCTGTGATTCTATGATGCTGACGAGGTAACATGACCTTGATGTTGACTTAAGAGGATTTTGTCAAGCTTATACAGTACCTGAAGGATGGTTAAAAAAAATTGAAGAGCTTTAATACAATATCAAACACCGTACATGAAATTGTCATTAACAGAAATGTTTTTTTTGTAACTTGCCATTAAAAGTTTCAACTGAAAGATTTTTCAGCTAAAAGATTCTTTAGTGAAATGTGGCTACTTCAGTGCCAGAAAAACAGCTTGTTGCACTCTATTTTAAAGACGATAAGACACCACTGACTTGCACTGTTTGCATACCCACCTGTATTGTGGGCTTCTAGTTGTGACAGGGAATTCACAGCCACTTTGCATAATGAACAGTAAAGTAGTTTTTTGGCTTTTTCCTCTTCAGACTCAGAAACTGTGTTAGCAGCTCCATTCGTGCTCTTGGAAGATGATGCAGGTGTTACAGGTGCTACTGCTGCCGCTCCAGGTTTGGGAAGAAAGGGACCCGTTTCTGTACCAGACTGCTGAATTGCGCTGTTGGGTTTTGCTTTCCCTGTATCTTCTAAAAGAATCAAAATATGTATGTCATAATATGCTGCACACAAAATTCACACAGTAATAGTCCTGTGGTTTTAGTGACCCTAACACAACAGGGGACTAATTTCATCTCATTTTATACAGGACAGCAGCGTCTCTGAAATCTTGTTAAAATCCTACCATGAAAACGTGTAATTTGACAAAAGGGGTGATTTTCTTGTTTTAAAGGTTATCAGTGAATACCAATGACTTCAACAAATTCACGCCAGCTGTTGTTGCTGTCATGCTGCAGGTTTGACCTGTTGAAAGGAGCCCAAGAAAGCCCAAAAGACAGCCAGAGTTAAGGAATGGAGAGCACAAATGTGAGGCTTTCAACGGGGATTACAAAAATATTTCTGAAAAGCAATATAGTTGCTTTTGGAATGGCTCCAGTTTCTCAGAGTCACTGGAAGGACACTGAAAGGCTCAAGCACCACCTTGACACAGATATCCCTCATTTCAGTTACAGGAGTTAACTATGGTACTACACTACACACATGAACACAGCTGCTAAAATTTTGTGTTTCTTTCCACAAACAATTCCCCATGTATCTGGAGATCAGATGGCTCCGATGTGCATTCAGTGCATTCCTGTATCACTTCACAAGCATGAGTCAATCATCTGTGCTCCTATGAGACAGGTAGGCAGGTATTACTTCATTTCACAGATGGCGATTGCAAGGCAAGAGATTAAATGTCCCAACTGTGCCTAAACTGGAAGTCTGTGCCAGGGCCAGTATTCAAATGTTCCTTGCCTACGTGTTGTCAGGTACATGAGCTCCTTGCATTTTAAGTTATTCAACTGCAGGCCTTGTGACCACAAGCTGTACTAGTTGCCAACAGTAAAACAAGCTCAGCTATTACGAACTCAGGATAGGAAGGGGACAGTACAGCAGTGCTGGCATGAATGACCCTGACAAAATCGACATAAGAAATGATTAAGTGACCCATTTCCACCCTGAACAATAGGAATCAAATCTTATTACTAAAGCAAGTACTACCAAACAGCAACTTCTTAAAAACTCCTTATATCCCATTTTAAACCTGTGGCAGTTTTAAGCAGCGTTGAACATATTTGAAAAAGCTAGGTCCTATTTTGAGCTTTTGGTTGTTTTTAAATCCGGGCCCTTGCACTTTATGTTTACAACAACCAAACTTTGTCTCGACTCAACTTTGTATCAATCAGGCCAATGTGGTGCTACCAAAAGTTCTGTAAACAGGACTTTACCCCCTCCAACAAACACATGAAAGCACGTATGAGCGTATGAACCATGAAGAGGCATCCTGAAACTAAACCCCACAGTTGTTGGCTTATTTTCCAGAAGTGCATTGCAGTACATCAATTTTAGATTGTTAAAAAACATGAGAAAGAAAATTCTAATAAAAGATTTTTTTTTTTTTTTAAAAAGCAACAAAAATACTTTGAAATTACATGATATGAACTATACTTAACACTGTAAATACCTGGAGTACTGTGTGCAGTTCTGGTGTGTCCTCAACATAAAAAGGACATGGAACTGTTGGAACAAGTCCAGAAAAGGGCCATGAGGATGATCAGGGGACTGGAGCACCTCCCGTATGAAGACAGGCTGAGAAAGTTGGGGCTGTTCAGCCTGGAGAAGAGAAGGCTGCATGGAGACATCATAGCAGCCTTCCAGTATCTGAAGGGGGCCTATAGGGATGCTGGAGAGGGACTCTTCATTAGGGACTGCAGTGACAGGACAAGGGGTAATGGGTTAAAACTTAAACAGGGGAAATGTAGATTGGATATAAGGAGGAAATTCTTTCCTGTTAGGGTGGTGAGGCACCGGAAGGGGTTGCCCAGGGAGGTTGTGAATGCTCCATCCCTGGCAGTGTTCAAGGCCAGGTTGGACAGAGCCTTGGGTGACATGGTTTAGTGTGAGGTGTCCCTGCCCACGGCAGGGGTGTTGGAACTTGATGATCTTAAGGTCCTTTCCAACCCTAACAATTCTATGATTCTATGATTGTATGATTCTAAATGATCAAGTACTAAGACTACTATTAGGAACCAAATTAAATACAAAACCAGATTCTGAATGTATTCTGGTTGATAAAGTATAACAAAAGAAAGTGATATTAAATCATTGTTCATAGAATATTCCATTTTAATGTCTCTGTATAATGTAATAAGTTATATCTGCAAAATATAGAACATAATATTTGACTTGTGAGTCTTCATAAAATACATGATTTTAGTAAACAGCATATGCTAACATTCTAAATTAAAGAGTTTTCAATACAGAAAGTTCTCAGAGGTGCTAACAAAAGGAAAAATGCTAAATTGCTGAATTCATATTACAGGAAAATACACTTCTTGTTGTTCTATGCAGTATTATGCGAGACGGCAAAAGGCATAGTACCAGGATATGTGTGAACCTGAGTGCAATAAAGAATGTTCCTCAGTGCTTTGCATTGCAGGCCTTAAAAGAGTAATATACCTGCAGAACTGCAAGCTGTATGTTAATATATAGAGACTACACTTTTAAATTTTTTTTTTTTAATGCTTCCCACATTTGTGGGTTGTTTTGGTGTTTTCTTGGGGTTTTGTTGTTTGTTTGTTTTTTAATGTAAGCATAAAAATTTGGTGGTTTTGAAACACTTTCTGGAGATAGAAATAATTCCTTCCTGTGAGAGAGAACAGGAGGGGGGCAGCAAGAATACCAGAGGATGCGCACCAGGGTGGACCCCTGGCCTGAGAGACTACCTCATGCAGCAAGAACACCATTTACAGTCCGGCCTGTGGCCCCTGACCTTGTGGTTCAAACCGTCTGCAAAAAGAGGGAGCAGATTTGTATTTCTTTGTTTTGCCATCAAGCGTCTGTGCAGTGAGATCCTGAGCAACGGACTAAGAATCATTTTACACAGGCCCCCAATTACTACCTCAGAGTAATGATTTTCCATTGCTGAATTTAAGAGATGATTGAAAAATGACAGATTTCGTTCCCCACTTCTCCTCACTTAACCAGCCACCAGCTGATGTAGTATGTCAATTTTAAAAATATTCCCTAGGTTTACAGTGTTTTCATAATACAAAGCAATTCTAGAGCACATAATGCGCAACAAGCTAACAAGAAAACTTCTAGAAAAATAGAAGTTATCAGCATTCAGCTGGGCTCAATTCTGCCAGTATCGCAGCTTTTGGAAAGAACCTCAGTTCATATAATAATTCCATCATTTAGAAAGCTTCCTGACACAAATAAGCCCTTCATTGATGAGGATGCATAATGAGAGATGTATACTCCTCTATGAATTAATGTTTCCTTCCACCATTCTAAATATTTAATGCAGAACATCTTCAAAGATCATAATCGTAAGGTTATTATACAGTTTAACTCCCACAGAAAGTACACGGAGCTAGTGCATATTTGTCACTGCAGTGGGGCCAGAATTGGGTTTTCCTAGCTTCTAAAATCAGAAGATTGCACTTCTCCAAATGCGTTTTTGATAACAGCTTATGTGTTTTCAACTCACGGAATTCAAAACACCGTTACTTACAGTTTTATGTTTGAGACAGAAATGCCAAGTATTCAACTGTGCAAAGCATAGGAAATGCAAATCACATGTATATACAAAGCCCAAAGAAGATTACTCTTTTATTTGTACTTACAGCACAGAGCTAACAAATAATATCTCCACGTAGAAACCAGAAATGTAGCTGTTAATGCCTGTACACATATACATATATATATATATATATATATACTTCCAAACTGTAATCACCATCTGAAATACATGTGGATGGCTAGATGCAGCTGTAGGATTACAGTCCTCTTGCTATTTCTGAAGGCAAGTGTTATACAGAAAAGGCTCAAATTTGCTCCAATTTCCACCTGGGCAGAGTCCACAAAGCCCAACAGAGCCAAGCAGAGGTCAAACAAGTGCCTGAGCAAATTCATCCTGCCCAGGATCAGGGATGCACCAGCTTCTGCAGCACAGCTGATCAGAGCACAGCTGGAAGCATGAGACCACAGTGGTATCAACCCCCTCCCAGACAACTGTAACTGTAATTCAACCTGAGTCAGGGTCAGGTTGAAATGCTTGTATTGTAACTCACGTGCAAGAGGTCCATTGAAAATCTAGCCTTTAGGGTTGCACTGTATCCAACTATGTTATTTTCCAACACAGAAAGGCCATACTTCATCTCTGCTAAATTCCTGTCTTTAAATTAAGTCTCCCTTTTCCTCAAGACTCTGGAGAAGTAAATCAATGGTTCTCACTGAAGCCTGAACTTATTTTGAAATAGAGCCGAAGGAAAAAAATAAAGCAAGATAATTAAGTATTGCTTTGGGCTCAGTAATATCAATGTTCTTGTCGCCTACTTACATTGTTTCAATTCTGCTTGGAAGCTGTTTTCACATATTTCTGGTTGTTTGACTTATCTTTGTGTCAGCACCATGTTAAAATTCAAGACTTATTTATCTAATTAGCACTGCCTCATTTCAGCTGTACATAACAAAGCCAGAACACAGTACATGATAACATCTGACAGGCCCAAATGCATCAGGTTCTAGCTTCCAATGTAAGACCAGCTGAGGTGATTTAATGACCTTTGCGGGTCATGCGACTCTCACTACAGTTGCTCTCTACAGACTCTCACTACAGCATAAAATATAGAACCTACCTTTTAATACTGAAATCCTACTTCAGCAGGATTCAGTTTGCCCTAGCTCAAAAAGAGGCAAAAATATTACCATAAAACTTATTCCCGTTGACCTCAACATGCATCTCATCTTTCCAGTTATTTTTTTCCTGGTGAAAAACCTAATGTGAATGTTCTGCCCCAGTTCATAGTCTGGCAATGAATTCAGTCCATTCAGAAAGCAAAAAGAATACTTTTTTTTATCCCCCTAATCATTCCATAAGGCAGTTCAGCTTATAAGGTACCTTTAAGAGAGTTCGCTTTGTTTATTTTATTATTTGTATGGAGTATTTACAATTTTATAACATATACATATTTGCACATTA